CAGGGTTTATTCCAGAGCTGCTCGGATGAATGTCTCCGTGTCTGGGGAAGCATGTGTGCTCCCCGTGGGAGTGCATCTCCTGAACGACGGATACGCTAACGGCGTGTGCTGCTAGGACGCGCTGTTCCCTGACGTTTGGTGACTCACCTGGGCTCACCCCTTCCCTTCGCGCCCTCTCTCAGCAAGCATGGTCAACTTCTATCTTCCTCAACGGTCGCCACCGTGCCACCTGCCGCTCTGCTGAGGCCTGGCCTCCCTCACCTGCCACCCAGAGCGGTGCAAGGCGCACCTTCCCAAAGGTGGGACTTGGTCAGAGGCCCCGGGCGAGTGGAAGGAGCTGGTCCAGCCCACACTGTGCTCGTGCGGCATGGGGCTTTACAGAGCTCACACCGGGCTGGCAGGAGCCCCGTGCTGGACCCATGCCACACGGTGGCTCTCCACGTGGCCTCTAACCGTCCCTTCATCAGATAGAGGCCTGTGCCAAGCACGCCCCCCTGGCAGCCACACGCTTGCACACGAGAGGGCAACAGGAAGTGTGTGCTGAGTGGATCTGCAGAATGAGGCCTGACGAGCAAGGGAAGGCCCCGAGGAGCCCGCGCTGCCTGCTTGCTGGGGGCCTGCGGAGCCAGGGACAGCCCGGCCCGTCAGCCACGGTAAAGGTGCAAAGGCACCTGCAAGGGCCTGATGGTCATTTATCGAAGGAGACCACCAGAAGGTAACTCAGGTGGCCACCAAGTAGCTCAGGAAGATGGCAAGCACAGGCCTTCCAGCAGGCAACAAGGCAGAGGTGTGGAGACACCATCCAGGTGCGTGAGGCAAGAAGGGGAAGTGGGACTGGGACAGGCCTTCCTGCTCCTCTGTGTGCTCAAGACAGGGGCTGCCTTCACTAAACTGGAACCAATGTATTGCACCTGGGGCAAGAGAGCCGGTGAGGAACTGGCCACAACCCGCCTAGAAAACAAGAGGAGTGTGGGCTGATCTTTGAGAATGAAGTTTCCGGAAGGCAGAGGGGATGGAAGTCAAGCCCAGGCAGATGGTGACAATTCTTCCTCTCCAGGGTCTAGATCTCGATGGCTGGGAGGGGCCCTGAGCCCTGGAACGGGTGGCAGGGTGGCACCGGAGTGCCTGGCACGAGGGCGCTGTGGGGGCTGGAGGGCAGCGTGCACCCCATGCGTGCACTGCAGCTGGGGCGATGTGTGGGAGAAGTGTGCTAGCACGCCACGGCCAGTGTTCTAGAAAGTGCCTAGGAAGAGCCAAAGTGACCCAGAAACAGGGCAGATGGGTGGTCCCGAAACGGAGAGGAGACAGCCCCCGCAGGATTGCAGGCAAAGGCAGAAGTGACAAAGCCTCGTCAGTTCATCCCCAGCCACGCACCCCAATCACAGTCCTGACTCCAAGTCGCCCACAGCAAAGTCCTGACAAGCACACAGGAGCATCCTGCCGGGGCCTGGGGAGCTGGGAGGCCAGAAGGAGGCCGCTCTGGGGGAGGACACTGGTGCAGGCTGGTAGAAGGAAGACCACAGTGCTGAAGTCTGAAATGAGAAACAAAAAGGCAGAGCCAGGGAGGACTGGTGGACAGGCTTAGGTTTGGGAAGAGCTCAGCAAGTGTGGGGGAGTGCAGAACAAAATGCCAAGACAGATACAAGAGAAAGAGGCTTTCTGAGGGCCCGAGACTCAGTTCTCGAGGCCTCTCACCCCCCGCCCAGGACACTCTGTCTCGGGACAACCACTGAAGTCAAATGCAGGAAGCACAGGGGGCACTGGACTGAAGGACACACCTGTGCTCAACCCAAACACTTAGCACCTGCACGCAGGTGAAGCAAACTCGCTCCTGCCTTGAGCAGCCACCTGGTGGGGGTCGGAGCTGGAGAGTTACCAAGCTCTCCAGCCTTCCGGGTCATCAGATCAGCGTTCAGGACGAATTGCTACCCCTACGCCTAGTGCTACTCAGCCACTGCCAGGGGCCGGAGGCCCCTCCCCTGCGGCCCTGTGTCCACACCACTCCCAGTCATCCGTTCAAGGCTCCGCATCGGCGGACGAGGGCCACCTGATGGAACAGACCAGCACTCAGAGTCACCCTGAGCCTCCCAGCTCTAGAGTCCCAGACCCCTGGGCCCCTCGACGCCTGGCAATGACTACACCTGCAGTGGGAGTCCAGCTTAAAAAAAAAGAAAGAAACCCACAGTATTTGAAGGAGTCCCAGCATGGGGTCCCGATAAGAGTTGCCAGGGCGTAAGACTGAATATTTGTTTTTAATCTACTTCTTGCTTCACAGATGGAATACAAGATTCTGGAGAACTGGTTACTCTTTTTACCCTAGGATATGATCTGCACAGGAAAACACAACCCCATGGGTAAAGTCTGACAGGCACGGCGGGTGGATTGTGAAGAAGAACAAGGCCAGGTATTGCTAGCTGGGGCGTCCAGGTCAAGCCACCACGGTGGACCTGTTTCCTCCCACAGAGGGCAGCAAGGACACCACCAAAGCTGGTCTCGCAGACCACTGTGAACCCTAACTGCGATCTAGTCTGTGCCAGTCTACTCCAGACCCCAGATCCCTACTTGGTATTCAGTTCAGAAGACATCTACCGGAACCAGTAAAAATATTTTTTAAGGACTGTATATACTGCTGAGTAGGACTGACACACGGAGGTATGAATGCTTTGATCACAATAACCAAGCCCAGAAACCCTAGCCTGCCATATTAAACACAGCCTTGTGTTTGTACAGAGCGCAGTGACTACCCAACGCGCGCTTTCTTCTCCGTGCCTGTCAGTCTGAGGAATTTACGTAACGTTTCCAGAAAGCAGGCTAGGCCGGTTGTCCAGCGTGCAGCAGAGACTGTGCGTGAGCACCTGCGGCGCCAGTCCTGGCGTCCGGCAAGTTCTGCTGAGGGTGGAATGCTCCTGGGAGGTCCAGGGAGCAGAGGGCAGCTTGCTGTCCAGAAGATCAACCCAAGCCAGAGCCAAGCGACCAAGGCAGACCCAGCCCTCCCTCCGCCACAAGGCCTCCTCAGGTCTCAACCACTCTGGGAAAGATGGTAGAGAAGCAGGTGGAGATGAGGTGGGTTCCTGTGGTCCTGACTGGTGGAACAAGTTCAGCCAGGATTAGTTTCCTTTCTTTCTCTCCCCTCCTGTTCCCTCCTACCCAGCTGGGAGGAGGCAGGATTGTGCACGGGAGGGGCCCTATTGCAGGGAGCAGAAGAAAAGGGCCTGGGAGAGGAGAGGGCTCAAGTCCAAGATGACCTGAGGTACCTAGCCTCTTCCAGACAGCAAACTACTTGACTCCAGAGGCCACGTAAGGGGGCAGCCAGCCAGCCAGCAGCTGCTCTCCTATCAGATCTGGAGATGCTTGTCCAGCAGCTGCCCAACCCTGAGCCCACTCCCCGCAGCACCCCTGGGCCCACAGCCCGTACCTCCCTAACACCCCCACTGCTATGGGCCTTCTCCAGAGCCACCTGGCCCTCTCCTGGCCCAGCAATCATGGGGCTGCACCTATTACTCCAGGGGGCTTCCAGGACCCTGTTCTAGGTAGAGTCAGTTGTAAAATGTTTCCAGACTGCCCTCAAGCCCCTAAGGGAGCTCATCAATCCTGTCTCCAGGAGGCAGGGGTGGGTGGTGACAATGGGCTGGAATCACCGCCATCATGGGATGGAAGTTCGTGAGCGGCAAAGGCTGGTTTGGTCACAATCCGTGTCAGGGCTGCTCCCCACGGTACTTCTCCTTCCCTTTTCTACCTGCCTTTCTTCTGACCGCAGGGCTCAATCCTGTCCACACCCACAGCAGACGCTGACCTTGTCCACGGAGGTGGGTTACCTCTGCAGAGCAAGAGCAGCCTGGCAGAGAGCCACTTGTGGGCCACTGGGCGGAGGTTCTGAAAACCACCCACAGTGAAGGCGAGGGCAGCCAACTGGGCCACCCCGCCAGTCCCCCCCACCCCCCGGAGGCCTCCAGGCCCTCTTTCTTTTTCTAACTCCAAACTAGGACACCCTCACTACACTGAACCGACAAAGCCCCCCAAGTATGGGCTGGGCATTAAGAATGGACTCCTCTGTGTTGCATGAATCAAATCACTCGCCACACAACACTTTTAGAAATTAAACCAGGATGTGACCGCCAGTTAAGCCAGTTCAGTCAGAATTAATGACTAGGTGATGCGCATGCACACACGCACACCCTTTCCTCCGGAGGAGATCCTGCAGCACTGACGGGATTGCTGTCCATTAGAGAAAACAACCACAAGCCCTCTAGCCACCCCTGAAGTTATGGCTCCAACCCAGGACTCCAAAGTCCTCGAGTCTACTCTGGGAGCACCCAGTTGCCTGAATCACACACCACCACTGAAGACAAGGGAGGAAGGCCCAGCTCTGAGGGGCCAGGTAAACAGCCCTTGGAAAGGGAAGAGGGCACAGGAAACATTCCCTTGTCACCAGGCCAACTGGTTGCCACAAATAATCTCTTTCCCTGACTGACACCCACAGCAGAATTTTCCTGCTTCGTCCAAGAGCAGCAGAGCAGCGGAGGGCAGCTGTCAGCCTGCCCAAGGCCTATCTCCAACAACAAGGAGGACCGGGCGGTTCATAGGAAAGGGGCCTTCTCACAGCAGCACCCAGACGCCCCGTTCCAAAGCTCAGAATACAGCAGGAAGAGGGAGCAAGGCCACACCAGGCCACACTAGTCCACACACACACACACACACACACACTACACGTAATGTTCATTTTCCTGTGCCTTTCGGGGATTCCTTAATTGTTTGGGCTGATTTTTGGTGAATGCTGGACAAAACTCGTCAAGTGACATTTCTGCAGATCGCCACCCCGTAGAATCTGTATCCCAGTTATTACCATGAAAAGAGAACATGTGTGCGTCTTCATTTTACAGCAACCAGTACGGTGCGGGGTGCCCGGCCTGGCTGGCACGGGAAGCAGGGCACGGGGAGGGGGAAAGGGAAGGGGAGGCCGGCGCAGGTGCAGGGCAGCCAGGCCGGCCGTGAGGACTTACTTGGGCTTGCCGACGGGCTTCCAGTACCTGCAAAAGAGGTACTGTCCATCTGCGTTGACCAGGTGGGGCAGGTCCTGGTACGGAACGTTCTGAGGGGTCCGTCTTGGGGAACTTTCCTCTGGCATTCTGGAAGGTCCTTCCAGTCCTGCAAAGAAAGGCGGACACGTCCGGTCAGACCGACAGCACGGCAAAGTCTCCTTCGGAGTCCTCGCTGACCCGCCCGCCCCGCCGGGCGGCCGGGGGTGCCCACTTTATTTTCTGGGGGCCTCGCTGCGGCTGCGCCCTCCTTCCCGTCCGCGTTCGCTTAAATCGTGCGGGAACTTCTTCCTCAAGCCTGCTTTGGCCGCGATCGGCAGGAGACGGCGCCGGCCGGGCCCCGTACAAAGCCGCAGCGGCGCGGGGCGGCGCGCGAGCGGGAGACCAACCTGCGTCCATGCCGCCGGGCGGGCCGCGGCGGGCGGGCCTGCGTGCGGGCGGCGTCCGGCGGCTCCCGCGCCGCGCCGCGCGGGTCTGCGCTCCCGGGCTCCCGGCCGCCCGGCTGGCTCCCTCCCTCCGGGGCGGGGAAGGCGCCGCACCGCCCCGCCACGGCTCCTGTCATCACTTTCCAAACCCACCGCGGGCGGCGCCGTCCCCGCACCCGCTCCCGCTCCCGCTCCGCGCTCCCCGCACCCCCCCCCCCGCTCCCTGGAGGGCACAACGCGGGTTCTCCCCGCAAAGTCGCCCCGCGGCTGCGACAAACTTTGCCTCCCGCCGGGCGCGGGGATGGCGCGGGGAGCGGAGCCCGGCGGCGGGAGGGGCGCGGGGCCGCGCGGGGGCCCCCGCGCCCGGCGGGAGGCGGCGTGGCGGGGACGAGCCGCTTTGGGGCCCGGGGCGCGCGCCCGCGCCGGCACGCGCGCACACAGCCGCGCACCCGCACCGGGCGCCCGCGCCGCGCGTGCGGCGACCCCGGCGGGGAGGACGGGGCGGGGCGCGGTTACCGGGGCCTGGAGCGCCGCCGTCGCCTCCCCCGAGCGCCGCGGGTCCGGGTCTGCGGCCGGCCAGGGCGGACGAGCTGCGCGGCGGGCTGCGCGGCGACTGGGCGCGGCGTCCGCGCCGCCACTTTATCCGCGGGCGGCCGCGCGGCGGCGGCGGGCGCGGTGGGTGGGGACGCGCGGGGGGCGGCGCCGGGCCGCGGTGCCGGCCCCGCGGGGCGGACGGGGACCCGCCACGCGCGCCCGCCCGCCCGGGGCTGTCACGGGGCCGCCGCGCCTCCGCGCCCCCCGACCCGCGCCCGGCGAGCCCCCGCGCCCCCCGACCCGCGCCCGGTGAGCCCGCCCGCGCGCCCCCAGACCCGTGCCCCCCGACCCGCGCCCGGCGAGCCCGCCCCCGCGCCCCCAGACCCGCGCCCGGCGAGCCTCCGCGCCCCCCGACCCCCGCCCGGTGAGCCCCCGCACCCCCAGACCCGCGCCCGGCGAGCCCCCGCGCCCCCCGACCCGCGCCCGGTGAGCCCGCCCCCGCGCCCCCAGACCCGCGCCCGGCGAGCCTCCGCGCCCCCCGACCCCCGCCCGGTGAGCCCCCGCACCCCCAGACCCGCGCCCGGCGAGCCCGCCCCCGCGCCCGGCGAGCCTCCGCGCCCCCCGACCGGTGAGCCCCCGCACCCCCAGACCCGCGCCCGGCGAGCCCGCCCCCGCGCCCCCCGACCCGCGCCCGGCGAGTCCCCCTGCGCCCCCAGACCCGCGCCCCGCGAGCCCCCCTGCGCCCCCAGACCTGCGCCCGCGAGCCTGCCCCTGCGCCCCCCGACCCGCTCCCGGCGAGCCCGCCCCCGCGCCCCCCGACCCGCGCTCGGCGAGCCCGCCCCCGCGCCCCCCGACCCGCGCCCGGCGAGCCCGCCCGCGCGCGCCCGCCCCCACTGACAGCACCGCAGGACCCAGGCCCGCGGCCCCCCGCGCGCCGGCGCCCCGCCTACGCGCCTCCACTGGACGCCCTTGCACGCTGGCCGGGCCGCACACGCGCGCACACACTCACCGCGTGCGGACGCTCCCCTCCGCTGCCCCAGCCTGGAACTGGAAGTCGGGCGGGGGGAGGCGGCCCGGGCGCCGGGGCGGGGCGGGGCGGGGCGGCTGCCAGACGGGACGGCCTTCCTTCCCCTGCCGGGACACCTGGAAGGCGTCCCTGGGCGGCCGCAGCCGGGCGCGCACCGCCGCCGCCCAAGGGCAGGACTGGGAGGGGCCGGCTGGGAGGCGCGGGCCGAGGGTCCTCGGGTGTCTGGGGCTGCAGTGGCCGGAGCGCGCGCCTATACCGGCCCAGGCGGGGAGGAGGCGCAGCCCACCCGTAGCCCGACCCGGTCAGGAACAATCAAAGCCAAATCAGGAGCCCTCTGACCGCGCGGGCTGTCCGCGCGCGTGCGCGCCCCGCAGCCCTGGCCGGCACGGGACCATCCCACGGTAGATGCACACTTTATTTAACCACCTACCCGTGGAAGGATATTGAGGGTTTTCCCCCCTACTGTGTCCTCATCATCTGGGACTGATGTCCTGGAGTGATGTTTCTGGGCTCATAGAAGTTGCATGCTTAGGGTGTGCGTGTGCGTGTTCAGAGGCCGCAAAGCAGTGTTTGCACATATGAGCCGCGAGCACTCCAGCTTCTTGGCAGTCTTGCCAGCATTGAATGTCCCATTAATTGCCCTGTGTGTTTCTGATGGTGGTTATACCCGTATTTGCCAAACAGCTTAGGAGTGTCTTTTTTTTTTGGTCGGTCGTGGGCCTGAACTCTGGGCCTGGGCGCTGTCCCTCAGCTCTTCAGCCCAAGGTGAGCGTTCTACCACTTGAGCCACAGCGCCACTTCTGGTTTTCTGGTGGTTCATTGGAGATAAGAGTCTCACGGAGTTTCTTGCCCGGGGTTGGCTTTGAACCTCCATCCTTAGATCTCAGCCTCCTGGATAGCTAGGATGATAGGCGTGAGCCACTGGTGCCTGGCAAATATTATTTTTCTACTTTCAGTTTTTTCACGTTAATTTCTAGTATATGAGGATAAAATTTGTGGGTTTTTAAAAATATGGATCTTGTATCCAGCTTTTGGCATTTTTTTTTTGTTTTTTTTTGGTCCGTGGGCCTGAACTCTGGGCCTGGGCGCTGTCCCTCAGCTCTTCAGCTCAAGGCTAGCGCTCTACCACTTGAGCCACAGCACCACTTCTGGCTTTTTTTTTTGTTTATGTGGTGCTGAGGAATCAACCCAGGGCCTCATGCATGCAAGGCAAGCGCTCTACCACTGAGCCACCTTCCCAGCCCCAACTGGCTGTTTTGTTTGCAGCTTGCTTGAGTTGTTCTATTCAGAGCCTCATTACATTTGTGAAGTGAGTTTCCTGTGGATGACTTGAAGGTGAATTCCTTCCCCTTCAGTCTCTGCATGGCATGTCTGGGTTAGGGCTTCCTTAGTCCCACACCAGAGATACGTAAAGCAAACAAAATCTAGGGACGCTCCACCGTGTCGTCCATGGTCTCTGGCCCCTTCATTGGTCAGGTATTTCTTTCAGTTTTCTTCTCTTTCTTCTTTGTCCAATGTTCACGGTGTTCTGATGTATTTAGCAAGATAATTGGAGAAAGCACACCACCTTTTCAGACGCAGAAGACTTTATTTATTTTTGGGGGGGAGGGGGGTCCAGTCATGGGGCCTGAACTCTGGGCCTGGGCGCTGTCCCTCAGCTCTTTAGCTCTACCACTTGAGCCATAGCACCACTTCCGGCTTTTTTCTTTTTTGCTTATGTGGTGCTGAGGAATCAAACCCAGGGCCTCGTGCATGCAAGGCAAGCGCTCTACCACTGAACCACCTTCCCAGCCCCACAGAAGACTTTTATTAGAGAGTGTGCCTGGCTCTTTATTTTGGCAGGGAGCTCCCTGGGCCAACAAACCCTCACCTCTTGGGTGACACATGATGTAAAGATCTTCAAGAGAAGAGCTGGCTGGCAGAATCTGCTCCTGCGCCTAAGATGAAGAGGCTGGCTGACAACCCAAGGAAAAGTGGCATTTTTCTGCCCACATAAGTGTTCTTAATGAGCTTCAGAGTCTCTCTGAGGCCAGAGGAGAGTAGAAAGTACTGGGTACTTTTGTGAGGAGAAAGGGTGGGATGGATCTCAGAGGCCTAAGAGAGCCAGGAGTTTGTCTTACGCGCAGTAGCGCCATGAATTCATCTTCTTACAATGACAGGAGTCTGGGTGGTCAGTTATGCCCCTCCACGTAGGGAGGAGCAGCGGCGGGAACAGGGATTGCGTTGAGGGACACAACCAAGACCACGACTGACCCTGGGGGAAAAGAAAGCTGAGCAAAGTTACTAAAGCGGAGCAGCAGCTGCCTTGAGGAGCAGTGTGCCTGCGGGGAGTCCCTGGCCTGGCACCCACTTCTCACCTGACAACCCCCTCGGGTTGGTGGAGATTGGCGAGGCCTTGTCTGTGGTGTGTGGTGGCTTAGCTCATGCTAAGTCGGGTGGCAGCCTGGTGGCTCACACATCAACTCTGACCCAAGAGAAACTGCCTTTCCATCTAAACCTTGTTACCATACATTTTAGAAGCTGGTGATTTCACATGGCAAATCTAGATTCTCAGTTCCTCTGGCAGAAGCCCGCATGTGGGCTTGGGATAGGAGGGGCTGTTGGGTAGCTGGGCTTGTGGATCCGAAACCCCGGAGAGCTCAGGCTAGAGGCAGACTAGGACTCAGTCCAGACATAGCCACTTAGCTGGAGAGACAGCCAGCCGCCTGGGAGATTAGGCAGTGGCATGGCTGGCAGCTGCCGTGTACCTGGGCTGCAGAAGATTCGGCCTGCATGATGGTTTACAATATCTGAACAGGCAGCCAACAGTGAACGCCCAGGACCTAATCGTGTTGGGCTGGGTTTCCTCTGAAGGTCCAGGCTTGGGCTGCGCCTGGCCACGGCCTGCCCGCCGTTGGGCAGAGACTGCCCCCTTCAGGTAGTGCCGGTCTCTGCCTACCCATCACCTCCGGAAAAGCCAGCCTGCGGTTTTGGTTCATGTCACTGGTTGGTGGTGCCTTCCTGAACTGTAGAACGTAAAGGAAGGGAGGTGCCGCAGGTTATGGGGACCGCAGTGGCGGTCCAGGCGGAGGTGAAGGTCTGAAAGCGGTCTGCCAGTTGTGATCACCAATGTCTTCAGCAGGGGTTAGACTGCCCAGGGGAGGTCGACTGGAAGGACAGTGATCCTGGGGAAAGCACTGTGAGGAGGAGGAGAAGAGGGAGAGGAGGAGGAGGAGGGAGAGGAGGCGGTAGAGGAGGAGGAGAAGGAGGAGGAAGAGGAGGAGGGGGGAAGGGAGAGGAGGAGGAGAAGGAAGAGGAGGAGGGGGAGGAGGGTATGAAGAAGGTACAGTCTCAGAGACTGCAGCCCCAAGTACGCTTCTAGAGAGAGGCTGTGGCCTGCAGACGTCAGGCACAAGGCCTGGGGCCTGTGCCTCGGCTCAGTGACTGGCCTTGGGGAGGTCAGCTCATGGGCAAACGGGGCAGACTTAGAAAGTGAGGGGGAATCGACGGAGAGGGCAAGTAGAGACGACCATGAGCACAGGCGCAAGGTCAACAGGCCTCAGAGCTGGGTGCCCTGGGCTCAGACCCGAGCTCAACTAGCCTGGAACCCCATGATCACAGACAGGTGCCCGACTGACTTCTTGTGTCTCTATAAAATGAGGATTAATGAATGAAAGACTTGTCTACTTTGTGGCAGAAAATGGAGTAGTTCAGGGTGCGGAAACTACGTTAGGAAGGAACGGGAAACACTGGTGGGGCTACTAGCTGAGTGTTCTGTGTTCTGTGCATTTTAGGGTTCGGAGAAAGGATTTTGAAGGTTAGGAGTGGCATAAAGGAGTGGCAAAGGCTTGAAGAAATAGATATGATTTAACCTGATTTAAATATTGCAGTTTATACACGAATCCAGACATCACATGCAACCCCATTAATACGTATAATCTTTCTGAGACACGGTCTCACTATGTATCGCAGGCTGACCTTGAATTCAAGGTGTGTATCTCCACACCTGGCTCTATGTACAATTTTTATGTCTGTAGGTACTGGTTAAAAATAAATTGTATTCAGCCAAGCCCTGGTAGCTCATGACTGTAATCCTATAATCCTAGCTACTCAAGAGGTTGAGACCTGAGGATCACAGCTCAAACCAAGCCTGGGAAGGAAAGTCCATGAGACTCTTATTTCCAAGAAACCAGAAGTGAAGCTGTGACTCAAGCAGTAGGGCACCAGCCTTGAGAAAAAAAAGCTAAGGGACCATTCCTCCAGCCCTGAGCTCATGCCTCAGGACACACACACACACACAGTATTAAAAATAAGGAATAGACCCATGCTGGTGGTTCACACCTGTGATCCTAGCTACTTAGGAGGCTGAGATCTGAGGACTGTGGTTTGAAGCCAGGCCAGCCAGGAAAGTCAGCCTGAGACTCCTCTCATCTCCAATAAACAACTCAAAAAAAGCTTGAAGTAGAGCTGTGGCTCAAGTGGTAGAATACTAGCGTTGAGCAAATAAAGCTCAGGGAGAGGACTCAGGCCCTGAGTTCAAGCCCCAGCACTGGTACACAACAACAACAACAATAAGAAGAAGAAAAGCTATAGATGCACAAGTTAAAGTTTTAAATAAGATTAAGTTAGCCATGTACTGTGAGTCTCCAGTTCTATGTGGCCTGAGGGGAAAGACCAAGGCAAGCTAGAGCAGGGAAGGTGCCAGGACACCACCGTAGCTAGCGTGGTGAGCATCCTGGTGGCAGCAGATGGCCGGGCTGCTCGTACCAGGACACGCTGGTGCGGGTAGGAATTAGGACAGTTTGTTAGCACTCCTGGATGGTGTGATGATCCATTTCATCCACGGCCCCAGGGAATGGCCTCCCTGTGTCCCGCCCTCTGTACTGGTTGG